AAAACTTCAAAAACCAAAAGCCCCCACCACGCACGAACGCCACTTCTCTTCGTCTCTCTCTCTTCACTCTTTCTCCTCAGTAGTAGTGGTAGTGGTAGTTGAAGCAGAGGAGAATATAGCCTCAAAAACCCCAGAAAGAAAAGGGAAAAAACGAAAGCCATGGATACTGACGACGTTACGCATGTACTCTTCACTAAAATCAGAAGCATAGACCCTGATAACGCCACAAAAATCATGGGTTATATCCTCATACAAGACCCACCCGAGAGGGAGTTGATGCGTTTAGCACTTGGTCCTGACTCCCTCCTCCGCACCCTCGTTTTGAAGGCCAAAACTGACTTGGGACTTTCGTCGAACACTTTGTCTTCACCTTCTGCTCCTTCTCCTCACTCGCCTTTAAACCCCATTTCCAGACCCACCAACAGCGCTGTGCAAAACCCATTTTCGCAGTCGTCTTCTAGAATTGCTAGAAATGGCTTAGGGGATTATGGAAAGGTAACGCCTTTGTCACCAAGCAGCGGTCCAAAATCAAGTCATTTTCTTTCTCATGAGAGTACTCTGTCTGGTTCTGGTTCTGTTTTGGCCCCTTCATTTTCACATCTGAATAATGGAAATGACGGTGGTGAGGGTGGTAATGGTGGTGATTTTCTCGATAACCATCAATTGAATGAATATTTGTCCTTTCTTGATGAGAATTCATCCAAAAGTGAGGAATTTGTCGATCCAAGGTCTCAATTTGGTTATTCAGCTAACAATGAAGACACTAATTTGCACAGGAGAAGTTTCTCAGCTAGTGAATTGCGTCTTGAATCTGAGGATGTTGGTTTTGGTGGTGGATACAAGCCTTGCATTTACTTTGCTAGAGGGCATTGCAAGAACGGGGATAATTGCAAGTTTGCACATGGTGGTTTTGCTGATAATGTTGACCATGGTGGTCATATTGTTGGTTCATCCAGCAAAATGGACTTTCTTTATCATCAGCTGGAGGAGATGAAGAGAATGAAAGCTCTCTATCAGCAACGCTTGGCTGCTTCACAGTTCATAGGCGGAGCTCCGTCACTGTTTTCTGACAAAAGCATGAATCTTTTCCTCCGGCAGCAAAATGACCCGCAGAGGTATTTTAGAGCTTTGTCGTTCTCTTATTGTTTTAAACTTATTGCCATGTGATGCACGTAAATCTTTGTCTCTTTTAATTTCTTTGATAATTGTAATTATTCAAGATATATGTTGGGAATTACTATTTGTTTCTACATATATATTTTTTAATTTTTAATTTTGACCATGGGATGCATGAAGGGTTTGCCATCTGGATTCGGTTTTTGTTTGGGTCTTTGGTTTAATTGTCAACCAGAAGTATTTTGGACGTTGCTTACCCGATGAGCGTTTCTAATTAATTGTTGTTACTATGGAATGAATTTCCGCTAAGTTCTGTGGTTTACATGTTTCAGGAGGTATGATTGAGACACTCAATTGGCTTTTTCCCTAACTTTGTGATGCTATGTAATAGATGGACGGTGTTTCTGTTTGCAATTAGGCTATTCTTTATCAATTGACTGTGCTTTTGGCATTTGATGTATTATAGAGCTGCTGCATTAATGTTGGGTGAAGAAATCTACAAGTTTGGTCAGGATCAACTAGAAAGGAATGACCTCTTTGCATTGGCATTGGCAGAAAAGGCCAACTCAGCATCGAGACAGATTTATTTGACATTCCCAGCTGATAGCTCATTCAAGGATAAAGATGTCTCAAACTACTTTAGGTAACTTGAGCACTTCTCTTTGCCTGGTCGTTCACATAATTTTCTCTGTTGCAGGGATCATTTACTTTTTGTCATTAATCTTGTATTTCTATTCATAGCGTTTAGAAAATCAGTGCTGCATTTGGGTATGGATTATGTGTCTTTTGAACATGAGTACTGGTCTATCAAAGCATCATTATCCATTCTTGACACTTGATGTTCTAATAATTTCTACTATTGTGATATTCAAAGTTCAAAATTTTGTCTCCTTTTCTGTGCTTTCACAATTGCTCCATTGATGCAATTTGGAGCTAGGGATGTAAGTCTTGTTGTAGTCTCCAATGATGAAATTTTAGACCTTTTGCCAATTGTAAGTATTGATGCCTAGAAGCAGGCTGTTCACAATTACCTGTTCCTGTCTTTGTGAGCAATTTATACTTACTAAATGTTTGAATTCTTAAAGAGTTAAAGTCAATATTCAAATTTTATCACTTGAGATTACCTCATCTTGCACTCATTCATGATGGTATATAACATCATGAATTTTATTATACAAATCTCCTCTTGCAAATGTGGCTAGGAATAAAAAATGGTTATGCTTGCTACTTCCACATCTTCAATTATTTTGGTGACCAGCTCTCAGTTTCAGAGCAGTAGTGCTTTTTTTTTTTTTTCATTTTTCAGCTAACATTTAACCTTTTCCCTTCCTCTGTGTCTTTAGGATAGAGTTGGCATGTAATCTGTATTTTTCTCTTTGCCCATGATTTTGATACTAAACTAGTTTTTGTGTCTTGGTTTTTTTCATGGGCTAAGTTTTATGAATTCTTTGGTTTTATGATGATAAATTTAATTGAATTCCTGTTGTATCATTCCAAAGCTTATTTGGACCAGTTCAAGATGTGAGGATCCCATACCAGCAGAAGCGAATGTTTGGTTTTGTTACCTTTGTCCATGCAGAGACTGTAAAGTTCATTTTGGAGAGGGGAAATCCTCATTTTATATGTGATTCACGTGTGCTTGTGAAGCCCTACAAAGAAAAAGGAAAAGCCCCTGACAAGTATGACATTCTCTCATTTGCTTTTTCATTTCATGCCTTGTCCTCATTATGCTTTAATCATGCAACTATATTGCAGGAGGCAAAATCTACAGCAGCAGTTTGAGGTGGGTAACTACTCTCCGTCTTCTAGCCCTTCTGGGCTTGATTTTAGAGAGATGTATGAGCTTCACCTAGGTAAGTGAACCAACGAGCTTTGGGATTGACTCCTTTGTGGTTTATGAACACGGATTGACGGGAAGGGAGATGAAATGAGTCGTGGCATCCCTTTTTTCTTTTCACTTAAGTGAATTATCTAATCTACAGGAGAAAAGATGGTGTACAGTCCACAGGAGATGATTTTGAGAAGAAAATATAAAGAGCAGGCTGATCTTCAGCATGCTATTGAACAGCAAAGCAGAAGGTTCATAAATTTGCAACTTCCAGACTTCAAGAGCGATTATACTCACCATCGCAGTCTCTCTGTTGGGTCCTCTGTTTCCTTGCCTGCTCACCTTGTAAACCAAAATGCATATCTTTCACTTGACAGCATTAGTCAAGAAATTGCTGAAGGTTGGCAATCACCTGCTGTTGTTTAATATATCTGAGTTTAATAGATATGGGAAAGAATAGCATTTTCTTTTCTTTTTTTGGGTAAATATATTGTGCTTAATCTACTTTTGTTGTGGCAGTAAATGGTGATAAGACAGCTGGTGATGTTACCTCAACCATAAATGCTCCACAGGAGCTTCAGCCGCAAACACGTTCAGTTTGCATTCAGAACAGTGGTGATGACAATAAGAAGGGAAGCCACACCCCTGAATGGTGCCAAGCTCCGGAACTGTATGGATCTCAATTTTCAAACTTGGATAGGATTGCCAGCAATTACAGTTGCAATAGTTCTTATTTTGGATCTTTCTATGTACCACCTTCTCTGAAATTGACTCTCAGCTTTTCCTTTCTTATTTGTTTTTCATTGTCCATTTCTCAGAAATCCTGAGAGCAGGGTAGAGCAAGTACTTCCCGATGGACTTTCTGGTTCTGCCATGAAATCTGCTGTAGATCAGAGGCCCGAAATCTCTCTTCTGGCAGAAATCAATCCAAATATCGAATTAAAGACTACTTCATCCTCTTCAGAAAATAACCCATCATTGCCAACCACTTCTACCAGCGACACGGGTTCACCTCAACCATCTTGTTCTTAATGCTGGGGTATTTTCAGCTGCTTTCCTTTACAGTAACTTGATTTATGCTTTACAAGAATAGAAAAGATCTAATTCTCCTTAAAATCAACTGTCTTGTTAGTTCAGGTTTTGCTAAGGGCATGAAGCCAATGAACTGTACGAAATAAAGGTGAGCATGACTGACTCGGATCAACTGAAACTAAAAACCTGTCATTGATGATGCCCTCTCTTTATAACATGGTAATAGTTTGTTTGTTCATGCAGAAAAGTAGGGAAGCATATACAAGAGATGAACTCTGTAGGTGTGTATAGCCAAATTATACAGCGAAGAATAGATGCGTAGGGAATAGACCGCAACGTCTTGATGAAATACAAATACTACTGACAGCAAATTCATATTTTGGATACGTGAAGGACAGATGAACTGATATAAAAATGTAGGGTTTTCCTTTTTTTTGGTGTTTTTTATTTGCTCCTGTTGTTGTTGGATGTTG